GGGTGTAGGATCAATATTTTCAATATCAATATTCTATACTCTCTACTATTTTATTTAAAATTTTAAAACATTAATTTAAAGATATTTTTTAATTTTTTATCAGTTGTATATGGACCGATTTTGCTGATTTTTAAGAACAAATTTCTCAAAATTCTGATAGAATTATTGTGATTTGACACTGAAGTTAACTGAAATCTAGAGGAAATTCATTTTAACAGACAGACGGATATAATATATGGGCAATTTCGTGTCAAGTGACAGATCTCAAAATATCGATTTGGATGAAATTTTCACCAAGGTTAGTATGATTGGATAGTACACTAAAAATAAAATTTAAAAAAAAAATAAAAAAAAAAAATTTATAAACAGTGAATAAATAGACATCTAAACTCCTTTGGACATTTTTTGCTAGAACCAATAAGTAAAAAGGTACACTTATTTGAGTAAAATCTCTTATGACCTAACTTTGACCTCTAACTCCGGCAGTTCTTGACCGACAGAGTTGAAAATTTGTGTCTGGTCTACTATTCAATAGTACTAATCTTGGTGCAAATTCAGCCAAATCGGAAGACATCGATCGGAACAATATATTGTGGAATTTACAAACGGAAAGTTGGTATAACTTTTATCTACATAAAGCGCATAATAATTGCTCACTAGGGTATCCAGTGGACCACTTTTCTATAGGAATACCTCTCGAACGATGCGTATTTAATATTCGTATATCTTTCTCCCGTGTTTGTATAATTTCGATTTAAACTTTGTAGAGTAAATATTGTCGCGGAAACGATTTTAACGTTTGTATACTCTATATATAAACTCAGATTTGAAATTTTCAAAAATTGTATAAAAGTTATAATCCTAATATGTATAAAATATATAATATAATTTAATGCTTACATTAATTTACAATTTAATTTTCTTAACTTCAACTACGGGACTTAATCGGCTTGCAGTTTAATTAAACATTTACAACATGATGGTATTCTAAATCGATCCAATATAATGTCTTCATGCTCTGAAATAGCCACTAAAACCTGCTCGCCAAAACTTTGTCTACATATTGCCGTATAATGATTTGGTATGGGTATTCCAGTTGATTCGCCACAGGTTGAGCCCGCTTCTCTAGAATTTATAAAGTAGAAATATGAAATAAAATATTGATATTTTAAAAGTTACTTACAAGCATTCCTCTATACGTATGCCCTGTTTATGACGTGGTATATTAACTATAGGTTGCCATACACCATCATTATTAATGGCAGCCTCTGGATATATGATCTTCTCGCGAGAAGGGCATAAAAATTCCTCATCGTGGTGTAGATCATAATCTTCATCATAATCATCATTATAATCATAATCATCATAAAATTTATTAAAATATGATTCTAGTAGGGTGAATTCTTCATTAATAATTCTTTCTAAATGTAATATATCGGGATAATTTCTAAGCTTATTACAAAATATTTTGCCATTTCCTACAGTATCGAATTCAAGACAGTCACTTTCATCAATTGATAACTTAGATCCTGTAATTTTGTGTAGTTAGTAAAATCACTGTATTTCGCTAAAATGAAATGGTTTCTTACCTTCAAACCTTTTTTTTCTCTTGAGGGGATGTTCGGTCATTCCCTCTTTTATGTTATTAGTAAAAAAAATAAATTTAATTTAAATTTCAGAATAGTCCTTAATGGGTGTCAAATTCTGTCTCACCTTCAAACTCTGTATTTTCTTCTTCTGGGTTTTCAGTAACGGGCACTATTTTGGGTAGTTAGTAAAAAAATGAAGTAAATTAAAAAAATTTAACACAGTCACCGAAATCAAATTGTGTCTTACTTTTAAATTTATAATAGTCCGATTCTGGGGTTTCAGTGGAAAATAATTCTATTTTTGAATGTTAAAAAAAGAAATGGAATATATTTTATAATATATGTAAATATATAAATATATAATGAGCTAAATAAAAGTTGGAACAAAGCTTTGCCTTGAATAGATATTGGGGGTCAAAGGTTACAAAAAATCAAAATTGCGTTAAAAATATTAAGACGTAACAAGTAGGAGTGTTATATTCAGCTATGCCGAATCTTATGTACATAAACCCACCAACAAATCATATAACATGAAAGCTACCCTTTAAATAAACTTTGATAGGGCCAATTTTGTGTGGGGTCAATTATGAACCGATCCTTATATAACAGTTTTCGGTTGGTTTAATGTTCATCGCTGGATTTTTAATTCAGTTATAAGTTGTTTCATCGTTGTGCTCATAGCTTCAAGCCAATGATGAGCGTTTAACAAATTTTCTGAGTTATCGGAGGTAGGTATCCTATAAAATTTTGTCAAGAGATTTTGATTCGTTTAAAACTTATCTGTGTCCAATTTTATTGCTGTGTTCGTATTTTTAGCCAGTAATGAGCGTAAAAATTATTTTCGGAAGAGGACCTTATATGGGTGTTAGATTCAATTACGGACCAATCCTCACACAATCTTGTAGAGTGATTTCAGTTCGTATAAATCTTGCCTATATCGAATTTTATCACAATACTAGAATTTTTAAAACAGTTGTGGCATTTAAAACTGTTTTCCGGAGGCAACTTGTATGGGGGCTATGAGAATATGGACTAAGTGGTCCGATAATTCTTGTTTTCAATATCAAACAAACCCTACCTGTAGGAAATATTTGTGTGAAATTCAACCTTTTGCATCTTTTCGTTCGAACCCTATCGTGCTTTCAACAGACAGACGGACGGACGGACATGGCAAAATCGTTTTAAAGTTTAATAAGGACCCATATACTTTTATGGCTCTACGATCAATAATGTTATTATACCACGAAAACAGCTAAAAACCCAAAATCTATTATATAATAAGTAGGAGTGTATAGTCGGTCATGACCGACCATATGATACCCTACACCACTGAGTATGTTAAAAATGTGCATTATAGTCAATAACAAAGCATTTAAGTGTTTTACCTTAATTCCGAAATATTTTAACAATTTGTTGAAAGAAGTGATATTCTAAAAGAGAGGTTATATGAGGGCAAGGGTAAATAAGGGCCTATCCTTATGAATTTTGGTACATGGCTTTACGTTTACATTAGAGTTATGTATGCTGGATTTCATCGTGATACTAGTGATTATTAGTGAATTATTGACCTCCAAGTCATTTTCTAAAGGGGACTTTGTATGGGGGCTAGGGTCAAATAAAGTTCGATAATTATGAAAATTGGTAGTATTATTAAGACGTATATAGAACTAAGTTTTGCCGATTTTTGTAGAGATACTACAATATTTAACATAATTATGAACTCAAAAGCCCTTTCCGAGGGGTAGGGTTGTATGGGGGCTAGGTGAAATAATGGACCGATTTTAACCATTTTCAATAGGCCGTTGCGACCAGTACCTTGCGCACAAGGTTTACAGGGACAGCCAGCCAGCCGGACGGACGGATGGACATCGCTTAAAGTGATTCTGAGTCGATCGGTATACTTTAAGGTGGGTGTAGGACCAATATTTTGTGCGTTACAAACATCAGCACAAACGTATAATACCCTCCCCACTATGGTGGTGTAGGGTATAAAAATAAAGTTTATAAACGACTAAATGGCTGAACCGAATTTTTTGTAATTTTCATAGTGTAGTCCTGTATATCTGGAAGATGATAATTACTTTTTATATTGAAATTTCAAGTGAGCGAGGAGCCACGCCCATATTAAGAAAATATTAAATAGGTATATTTGAGATAATATAACAGTTAGAGTCGGAGCAACTTTATGGTCAAAATCATTATTTATGACAAAAAGTAGGGAGACTAGCAGCAAATGCACAAAGAAATTTAATATTCCTTTGAATATTTTGTATAAAACAGGGCGGACTTTCGTCTGGGGGGGCTTGGAGCCCCCATATGAATTAAATAAAAACATTCGTGCATCTGAGAAACTATTAGAACTAGAATCTTCAAATTTTACATGAAGAACTTTGAACTTATAAGGAATAACGGGCGGACATTCAATGGGGTCTTGGCACCTCCCATATGAATTAAATACAAAATTTCGTTTATATAGGAAATAGATTTTTCAAAATTTGCACGAAGAACTTTATTATTCATCTGAATATTTTGAAGAAAAAGGGCGGACTTTTATCTGGGAGGGCTAACTATCTGAGAAATTTTACATGAAGAACTTTGACATTAATGTGAACATTCAGAGAATAACGGATGGACTTTTAATGGTAGACTTGGCAACTCCCATATGAACTAAATACAAAATTTCGTATATCTGGGAAACTATTAGATAATTCAAATTTTTCATAGATTACATTAAAATCTCCTATATGTAACAAATTGTATATCTGCAAAAATATTGTAGTTAGATTAGAATCTTCAAAATCTTTAAGTGTTTTTTTTTTATTTATATTGCTTTTAGGGTAGCAAAGCACACTGGGTATAGCTAGTAGTCTATAATTAAAATCTAGAAAATTATAATAGCATCAGCAATCGTACGATGCATATTAAGTGAGATTTTCATAAAAAACTAATTTTTTGAACCGTTGACCGCCAATATCTCGCATATAGCGCGCACTATATTTATAGTGACTTTTCATACCTTATTATAAAGAGTAAGAAGGAGCTATTTACTCCTCCTTATCACTAAATAATATTATTATTGATTTCCCTAACTACTTACCGCTCTCTCCGCTACTGATTTCTTCCACAGATAATGTTTCAATTTTATCCTTAAATGGTCAAAAATAAAAAAAATAGTTTATTATTATTTTATATAGAAATAACCCAGCAAACACAAAAATTTTATGTTGATTTGAAAAGACTGTCGACTTTGAGAATGTTTCGAATGCATTTGAAAGTAAGTAACAGTTCTATATTTTAATAATATTTGGATTTAAATTGTAAAAATTTATGATTTAAGTTTTTATATGTCTGTGTTTGCTGGGAATATTAATTGTTTCACAGAACTTAAAACAAAGTTATTGTTTGCTTTTAAAATTTATTTTTTCTTTATTTATTATAATTTAAAAAAAAACATTAAACAACATATTATTAATAAATTTATTAGTATAAAAAAAAAACAATTCTAATCAAATGTAAATATACAATATGTGAGTTATTTTTTACATTAGTAGTAGATCGTTCGTATCGTTGCATTATTGTATTTTTAATTGATTTTTTTTATATTTCTTAAATTTTTGTTATAAAGTTTAATACTTAAATATAAATATAATGTTAAAGTAGAATTTTGTTAAATTTCTAAGATACAATTTAAATAGTCAATTATATCAAAGGGAAGTTGCCTAATAATCGCGTTACATATTTGATACTACATTATAACCATAATAATAATTTCAATAAAGATTCGTTCACACTAATCAAATACATATTTGACGAAAAAACGTGACCCCTAATAAGTCAAAATTTTAATTTCTTTAAATCATAACTTATTTACTAAAATATACCCAGCAAAAACTTTCATTAACTTTCAATAACAATTTACTTTCACAATCGCATTTTAAGTAATTTTTTTTTAAACACGGTGATATCATTGGAGGCCAGAACCTCAAACGCTTACAAGTAATTTGAAGAAGTAGTTATTGGAGGCATGAACCACAAACGCTTACAAATAATTTGAAGAAGTAGCCATTGCAAATCACATGATTACACATATACAGCTTCTATAGCTTCACAGGCAAGAAGACTAATGAATGAGAGAGTATTTATATAACACATTATTAGAAAGACCTTATTAGACTGCTTATGCAGTTATAACTTTGAATTTCATTATTAGTAGTTCCGACATTATTTGCAATTATCAAGAATCACGTAAGATCAATAAAACATCTAAAAAAAATGTGGTTACGTCTTTTTCGTCAAATATTTGATAAGTGTGGTATAAACGTAACTTAGGTAGAACGGATTTATTTAGGTTAGTTGTAAGATGTAGCATAGAATAGGACAGACATAAACTACTAAACAATGACCATTTGTTACTCCAAAGAACCTGCCAAAGAACCTGTTCCGGCAAGCCATTTTTAATCCATTTTGTGAATAATTTTAGGGGGATTTGTTCATGTTTGGGAGAATTGATGGGAGTAACAAAATCAAAAATATATTAATATGACAATCAAACTATTGTTTGACTTATCTATTATACAACTTGTCTATTATACAGCCCGAGGTTAAGTTATAGAACTGTACCTTATACTTAGCGAGCGAACTTCGAATTTTTAGAAAATCGTCAATACTTTTAATAAACACAATTCCAAAGAACCTGCCAAGGAACCTGTTCCGGCAAGCCATTTTTAATCCATTTTGTGAATAATTTTAGGGGGATTTGTTTAAGTTTGGGAGAATTGATGGGAGCAACAAAACCGAAATATATTAATATGACAATCAAACTATTGTTTGACTTATCTATTATACAACTTGTCTATTATACAGCCCAAGGTTAAGTTATAGAACTGTACCTTATACTTAGCGAGCGAACTACGAATTTTTAGAAAATCGTCAATACTTTTAATAAACACAATTCAGAATAAAAATTTGGAAAATTATTTATTAAATTTAAAGGAAAAATCGCAATATGGCAAGTGGTGATACTTGATCTGCAACAAATTGAGTTTATCAGACTTTTGAATGTCTAATGGGGTCTTCAAAATAAATTTTTACTGATATAACAATTTCATAGCTTTAGCATTTTAACTGTATATTATTTTGTACAACATTCCAATTGTATCTAAAATATTTTTTTTAACAAATTTTATAAAATTCTTATTTATAAGCTAATTCAATTTTTCTTAAAAGGTCCATTCGAAACAGATTTTTTTTTCGTATTTTCAACGAATATTGGAAGAATCCTTTTTGATTGATTTTTTTTTTAATTAGAATCCTTTTTTAATTGTTTAATAGACATACCAATCATATTTCTATACATGTGATGATTAAATTAAAATTTATAAAATACAATTGGAAACAATACAGATTTTTACTTAGAATTTATTATTAACAAATATTGTTGTATATATATAATTAGATCTATTCTTTTTTTACAAATATATTAGTTATACCAACTAAGCATTTTGTCAATATTTATACAAATTTATTTTTTAACAATTTAAAAGACTCATTTAAGAATCACTACAAAAAAAATTATATTAAACTAAATTTTATTTTAAAATCTAAAGTAATGGACAGTTTGGCCTGCCATCCATCCTGTGAGTGTTTGGGTTTCTAAGGAAACGGAAAGAGAATATATAACAAAAAGTTTCACTATATTTATTAATTCATCACTCACCTTAAATCACATTTTGAGTTCGAATTTAAAAAAAAAACGGCAACAGTTTTCTTTACTACTGAGTTATCTTTACCTGTTATGAAGACCTCCGTCAGACCTCAGTTCTCAGAACGCATTTACAACAGGAAGGCATTTTAAATTGTTCTTTTATAACGGTATCATCACTTGTATAGGCAACTAAAGAGCGATAAATGTAACTTTGTTTACATGTAGCGGTATAGCGATTGGGTAAACTTAGACCAGTATTTTCACCACAGGTAGAGCCCTCGTTACTAGAATCGATAGAGATCACAATAATTTATAAATTTCTTAAAAAAATATTTTGGACCAAGGCTGGCAAGCGATATGGGTTATCGATCTAAAATGATAGTATATGAATACTTATAAATAATTTACTGAAAAACTTGTTATCGATAACACTATCAGTTGCCAGCCTCTTGTTCTTAAATAACATTTCTACTTACACACATTCCTCTATACGTATACCCTGTTTATATTTAGGAATATTTACTATAACCAACCAATTATATTCCCTATCAACACCCGCTTGAGGATAAATAACTCGAACACGGCTCTTACATAGAAACTCTTCATTTGGTTCGTTATTCATGCGTTGACTAATGTTTTGTGGTAGAACCAAATCTTCACCAAAGAATGATTCTAAATTCGAGAATCTCTGCTTAATAATCTGTTCCAAATGTGACTTCTCGGGATAATTACGCAGCTGAGTACAAAATGGTTGCCATTGATGGCATCCTTTTCCAAACAGTCATTGGTATCGACTACTTCTTTTCTTTTCACAACGGTTTTTTTCGGGTTCAGGTTCGGGTTCTTCGGTGGGAAAATGAACTACTTGTAGTAGAATAATGAATAATAATTTTTAATTTATGTCTAAATCACTTTAGTTAATTAGTATACTTTCGGTTGATTAGCATTATATTAGTGGGTTAATTTCCGTTTGATTTTTTGTTTTCATTGGTTAGTTTAAAACTTGTTTAGATAATTTTTTTTATATTCCTTTAAACCATTTTATATATTTTATTTTTTACTATAGTAACACTTTTATAAATATACTTACTTCTATCTTGACTTCGAGTATAATCCACAGACGATGGCGAGGTTTCAATTTTATCCTTAAATGTTTAAATAATATTTAATTTATTAATTTGTTTAAACAATATAAACCGCAATAACACATTTTGTTAGGCTGTTAGTAAATTTGCTTCGAAAATATATTAGGTGAAAGCGCAATAACTTCAATATAAACGTGCATTACTTTTGTGTCGCTACACATTTCCAAAAGCATATCAGAAGTTTGTATTGGTATTTCTGAAATATTATTAAAAATTTTAAATGATTTCTGAAATACAAAAGAAATTTCTGAAATACAATTTGAAATGGTGTAAGTGCATTTTTATCACAAGAACGTGCAACTAAACCATCTCCCATAATTTTTAAATTTGAACTTTAGACAATTTTTGATAACGTTAGTTAATATTTTGATTACAATATGATATACAATTTTTTTTGCAATATTTATAATATTTACAGAGTTTAAATTGTTTTTCAATTTTAGATGTTTTGAAATTTTTTTTTTGATTTTTAGATATATTTGTCCAATTTATAATCGATGTCGAAAGTTTAAATTGTTTTTGATCAATTTTAGATTATTTGTCCAATTTATAATCGATGTCGTATGTTTGTATCGGAGTATGTCATACAATAGGCTTCATCCCAGTGCCGAACACGTTTGGTCCAAATTTTCAATATATCTTGAAAATTGCCGCTTCTACCTTGCGCACAAGGCGATTCTGAGTCGATCGGTATACTTTAAGGCAGTTGTAGGACCAATATTTTTGTGCTTTACAATTATCATCACAAACACAAACATAATTACGACATACAAACATACAACACCCATTGTGAATTGGACAATTATGTACATATATTATATGGCGCAGGTAGTCTAGTCTACAGTCTAGTCTATAGTCAAGTCTATAGTCAAGTCTAAAGTCTAGTCTACAGTCTAGTCTATAGTCAAGTCTATAGTCAAGTCTAAAGTCTAGTCTATAGTATAGTATTTAGTCTAGACCATAGTCTAGTCTATAGTCTAGTCTATAGTCTAGTCTATAGTCTAGTCTATAGTCTAGTCTATAGTCTAGTCTATAGTCTAGTCTATAGTCTAGTCTATAGTCTAGTCTATAGTCTAGTCTATAGTCTAGTCTATAGTCTAGTCTATAGTCTAGTCTATAGTCTAGTCTATAGTCTAGTCTAAAGTCTAGTCTATAGTCTAGTCTATAGTCTAGTCTATAGTCTAGTCTATAGTCTAGTCTATAGTCTAGTCTATAGTCTAGTCTATAGTCTAGTCTATAGTCTAGTCTATAGTCTAGTCTATAGTCTAGTCTATAGTCTAGTCTATAGTCTAGTCTATAGTCTAGTCTATAGTGTAGTCTATAGTCTAGTCTATAGTCTAGTCTATAGTCTAGTCTATAGTCTAGTCTATAGTCTAGTCTATAGTCTAGTCTATAGTCTAGTCTATAGTCTAGTCTATAGTCTAGTCTATAGTCTAGTCTATAGTCTAGTCTATAGTCTAGTCTATAGTCTAGTCTAGTCTATAGTCTAGTCTATAGTCTAGTCTATAGTCTAGTCTAGTCTATAGTCTAGTCTATAGTCTAGTCTATAGTCTAGTCTATAGTCTAGTCTATAGTCTAGTCTAGTCTATAGTCTAGTCTATAGTCTAGTCTATAGTCTAGTCTATAGTCTAGTCTATAGTCTAGTCTATAGTCTAGTCTATAGTCTAGTCTATAGTCTAGTCTATAGTCTAGTCTATAGTCTATTCTATAGTCTAGTCTATAGTCTATTCTATAGTCTAGTCTAGTCTATAGTCCAGCCCATAGTCTAGTCTATAGTCTAGTCTATAGTCTAGTCTATAGTCTAGTCTATAGTCTAGGTTATTATCTACTCTATAGTCCAGGTTATAGTCTAGTCTATAGTATAGGTTGTAGTCTAGTCTATAGTCTAGTCTATAGTCTAGTATATAGTCTAGTCTATAGTATAATCAATAGTCTAGTCTATAGTCGAACCTCTAGTCTATAAGCCATTTTATCACAAAGTAAAAATTAAAATAAGAAAGATATACATATGTATATGTAATTTGTGGGTGTCATTAAAAATTCTGACAGTCTATAAGTTTCATATTTTTCTAGTAAGAGATATTCTTTGTTATCGACAGTTTGCTCAAATTATAAAAAATTAAAGCTGCGGGGCATGTAAGAAATCTAAAATACCAAACACCAATAGCTAGTTTTTATACATAAGCAAAATGTATTAAAAAAACTAATATTTCTACAATCTATAGTCTTAAATATAATTTACAAAACTTATTCTAAGTTAATTTAATAAATTACATTTGCCCTACTCACAATCAGCGATGTAGTGTTCTATTGTTGTAACTATAATACAAAATTATATTATACAACAATATAACGTTACGATGCCGATAGTGAATAACTGTTAGAATATAAATGCATATGTAAAGGTACATATTAATTATCATTAACTTGAATATTTACACAGGAACATTTAAAACATACATATAAAATTCCAATTAATAAGCATAAAAATAAACTTACTTTCGTCAAAGGAAGTCCACCGGGAAAATGAGTTTGAAATCTATTTTCGAAACTTTCATTACTATGCGCTGTAATTGTTATTTTTTACTTAGTTTTAATAATTTTGTTTGTATTCCAAATACAGAAAAAATAACATGATTTTTCATTCCAGTTACAATACTTACAGCTACTATTTTGATTAACAGTAGTATGATTTGTGTTATTCTTCTCCTCTTTCGGTACATAATCTTCATTATAGACAAGACTCAATTTTCCATTTGGACTTCTTTGAACCTTAAAGAACTCCTTATCACTAGATGAGGCTGATGATTGTGGTGTTATATGGATCTGGTTGATCGCCAATCATTTGATCAGCATATGAATTAAAATGAGTTTGATTGACAAATGGTGCAGTATTCTATAAAAATTAAATACATATTTTGAAATAAAAATACTTGACTAAGTAGCATGCATGAGTAGATTCTGGAAACCTTATATAAGGGACTAAGACTTACTTTAAACAAATATAAACCAGGTCCAAAATTCGTAGAAAATACACTACGTATATTTTTATCCACTATAGAATCTGTGCTGGACTGTTCATTGTTATGTGGGGGGTTGTAGCCATGCGGGTGTCCAGCTGGCGGTGAGGCGGCAAATTGTTCATGACTCCGATAGCTGGCATGATTATCTTTATGGAGGGGCGGTTTTCTAAATCGACTCCCTAACGGCCCAACTGCATCACCCAGATATTGTGGATTATGTTCACTAGACTCTATATAGGGAGCACGATCACGTCTTTCATTATAAATTGACTACTGGGACAGACTATCTAAAAGTAGTATTTTATAGGTGGGTCAATATAAAAAAAAAAAATAAGTTTCTACTTTGCTTATGACTGATTAATGAATTTTTCAGAATTTATTAATACTTAGTTTATGTTAAATGTTAGATCTTCAGGAATTATATACATACTTCTGTTCTTTATGAGTTTTATGTTTTTCTATTTACCTATAATTACTCTATTTTGTACATAAATATTTATTAATTGACTTAGAACTTATTCGATTCTTTAAATAACATTTGGAAATGAAAAAAGTTTTTCATTTCTTAATTCAGCCTCCAATAACAAGTCGAATTACGTTATTTTTGCAAAAAATCTTTTTTTTTCGAATTTATTTATAATATGATCTTGATACTATAATTTTTCTGATATTATACCGTATTTTAAATATTTTTTAAAATAATTTTTTTTTAGACAAAATTAAAGATTTCCAATTACCTTAGAGTTTTTTGTTTGACAACATTAAAGCAAAGTCTTATATAACTGTTTTCGTTCAATAAATATAATTCGAAAACCAATTACTAATCCTAATATACAAGAGATTACAAAAGTCAAAAAAATAATATTATACACTGCTGCAGTTTTACTGGTATTTTTATTTTTGCACCCTACACCATTACAGTGAGAAGGGTATTATGCTTTGGTGCTAATGTTAGTAAATATCAATAAGTAAGAATATTATATTCGCCAATGCCATCTTAGAACATGTGTCATAAGAAGTCGTAAGTTTAATTACCTTAAAACATACGACATTTGGTTCTGTATATGGACGTAAGAAATTTTGGATCGAAATTTTCTCATTTATTGTTTGCAGAATTCTTGTCATACATAAGTGCATATATTGATATCAAGATGAATTTAAACAGATTTTCGAAAAGGACCTTCAGTAAATTCTAGACCGAACGTGTCCAGAATTTATTGACCGTGTTTGCATCGATTTGTACGTAACATACATATTATTAACTTAATTACACTATAGCATTTCAAGTCCTTATTTTAACATGGGCCAATGTCATCGGAAACAAGTACTTATCACGCTCGCTTATAAGTAGGGAGTTAGGTAAGTAGTACTTGTAAGTAGTTTGGTTTTAGAAAGATAAGTAGCCTACGACAATGCGTATATAATTATTTGTCTATGTAATGCAGACGTTATATATTAGTTATTGAAAGTAAGTTTTTGAATAAGTATAACCCATTACTATTTTTCTGTAAGGTTTCACTACTGGATCGTAATAGAAACTTATAAGGACCCAGAATGTATGTATAAGTAGGTAAGTACTATTATGGAAATTAGCTCAATATTTCGATGTATTATAAAAGATTCAGAAAGAATCATTAAACGAACTCGGTTTTAAAACATCTCCAAGCCATCCTACAAATGTCCTTTAAAATATCTAGGAATAAAATTGACCTTATGGTCATACATTTCCTAAAATAGGTTTGTAAGCCCTTATATAATCCTTCCTACATATTGGACCCTACAAAAGAGGGTATCACATGATCCCAAATAGCCAAAACTCATTTCTTACATATTTTTAATATTCTCTTTATACCCTACACCACTTTAGTGGGGAGGGTATATTGGGTTTGTGCTGATGTTTGTAACGCACAATAATATTGGTCCTATACCCACCTTAAAGTATACCGAAAATAATCCAATGAAATTTTGTACATGATCTTCTATTGTTTCAGTGACGAAGCCTATTGAAAATGGTTAAGATCGGTCCCTTTATTTCACCTAGCACCCATATAACTGAATCCCCGAAAAGGGCTTGTAAGCCTTGTAATCAAAGTACAGGTCGCAATTTTGAAGATAATTCAATGAAATTTTGCACATGAAAATATGTAACATCGGTCCAATATTTGACCTAGCCCTCGTACAACTGAACACCCCTAATAGGGCCTTTAAGTTCATAATTATGTTCAATATACTCGTATCTCTACAAAAAGCTGCAAAACCAAGTTCTATACTAGCCTTTATGACCCTGATGAATTTTTTGATAATAGGGCCTCATTTGACCCTAGCCCCTATACAAAACCCCCTTCGAAATATGACACAATGTACACAAAAATTCAACTTAAATTATTTAATATGAACACTAAATCACATATTATTTTTATAACTGGTGTAGGTGTATTATATGGTCGGCTTCGACCGACTATAACTTATTACTTGTTTTTCATTCCCCTTTGGTAACAGATGCTAAATAAACAATAACAACAAAATCAATAACTAAAATTTGGACAGATGTTTTTTTTTTGTGTTGTTTTTTTATTCACATTTCGCAATAATATACAATATATTTTTGTATTAAACACAAGAATAATATAAAAAAACAACAACAACAACAAATATCACAACAGTAACACAACGATGATGAGGAGAATGTTAAATGAATTAAGAAAAAAAAAAAACAATTAAAACAATAACAAACAGCAGCCTGATATTCAATATTCATCCCAAAACAAGTTTTATTTAAAATATTTTTATGGCTTAAATAAAGAAGAAGCTGTTTGTTGTTATTAAGTTAAGAAATTAATAAATGTACTATATTTAGTATAAATTTATAGGTTAGTTAGTATAGATTGGAAGACAATTTTTGTGTAAAATCCAGTTACTATTATAAAGTGACCTATATACATACATTGAAATTGTATATTCGAAAACTATTTAAAAAGGGTTTTAATTTTAATTAATTTACTGGTTTAATTTCGATTTTAAAACAATACGCAGGTGTATATAATTGATATTATCATTGCGTTTGCTACACAAAAGTGGGGTTTCTTTTGGAATCTAAAGCGATCTATCCAAGTCTGATGGAAAGCTCGTTAGGGCTCAAGTGTGGGTAGCTAGAGGAGAAAAACTTGCACACAAATATTATCTATTGATAAGATACATATATTAAAAATACACATCCAATATCGAACTGTATTTGACACTGGTTTCCATAAAGGGTCCTCTTCAGAAAATAACATTTTCAAATCGATCAATAATACCAATAGAACAATAAACTAACAAGTTTTATTAGTTCGTTACCAAATTTGATGAGGATCGGTTACTAATTGTCTCTACCATTATGGATCGTTATCCCCATGATACCATTAAAATTATGATATATATTAATATAAAATTGATTCTAATAAGCTAAACACTCTCTCGAAATTTCTATATTTTTGCAAAACCCTACCACCAAAAAAGGAGTCATTTCATTTGTAAGACGTCGAAATGTTGATTTAAGATCCAATGTATATATTTCCTGGGTCCTTATTAAATTCTAAAACGATCTAGCCATGTCCGTCCGTCTGTTTGTTAAAGTCACAATAGAGATCTGAAATTTGGAACAAATATTTTATTGAAGTTTAGATGAAGTTTGTTTGAACTGAAAATAAATAATATTGGTCCACGGCTACCAGTACCCATATAATGTCTTCTTCAGAAAATGACTATAACACTCATGAGTGGCTTAAAAGAACGTTGACATAAACAAGCTTTATAGCCAAATTGTGTTTGTCAAATTTTTTGAGGATCGTCAATAATTTACCCTACCCCGATATAAAAACTCCCTCAGAAAATGACCTCTAACTTCTATAAACAAGTTTTATAGGAACTGAAATATTTCTTTGAAATTTTATGTGGATCGGTTTATAAAAGCTCCCTCTAAAAAATGACGTTAAAGATCATAAGTTACTTAAAATGCCAGTTTAGGATCGAAATTGACATAAACAAGTTTTATAGGAACTAAAATGTTGATTTAGGATATATTGTATATATATTATGGGTCATTATTAGATTCCAAGACGAGCTAGCCATGTCCGTCCGTTTGTCTGTTTGTTTAAATCACAAAAGAAAGCTGAAATTTGGAAGAAATATTTTGATAAAGTTGATGCCGTTTGTTTGGAATTGGAAATGAGCAATATCGGTCCACGATCACCTAGTCCCCTGCAGAAAATTACTATAACACTCATAACTGGCCTAAAAGAGCATATATAGCGTTGACATAAGCTAGCTTTATAATAGCCAAATTGATTTTGTTAAATTTTATGAGGATCGGTCAATAATTGATCCTACCCCCATTTAAAATCTCTCTCAGATAATGACTTTAACTTCCATAAACAGGTTTTATAGGAACTAGAATATTTCTGTCAAATTTTATGAGGATCGGTCCATAGTTAAGCTCCCTCTAAAAAATGACTTTAAAGCTCATAAGTTACTTCAAAATGCCAGTATAGGATCGAAATTGACATAAACAAGTTTTATAGGCACTATTATTAATCTGTCAAATTTATTGAAAATCGGTCCTTAATTGGCCTTACCCTCCATATAGGGTTAACGCTCACTACTAGTTTAAAATGCGAACATAGTAACGAAATTCGACATAAACATCTATTATAGGAACTAAAACCTTTCTGTAAATTTTTATAGGGTCACCTTCCGAAATTCATTTGAAATTTATGGCACATGATTTGATGGTGGGTATATAAGATTAATTATAACTGATTATAGCATCAAACTTAATTTCTAATTATTTTACCAAAATTTTAAATATTTAATTCTGAATTGAAAAAAAAATTAATGAATCATTCGTGTGAATTATAAATTGTTATCTTTATTCTAAAATTAAGTTGTTAAACCCAAAAAAAAAGACAGGCCCTTAATATAATAAATTATGACTAAAAAAGTGCTTTTTAAAACATATGTTTTTAGACAATAATTAAACAATAAAGATTATTTTTTTGTCAAAAATAAATGTGAGCTAATTAAGTGTTATTTAATTATTTATTATATAAATAACTTAATTTGTATATGTATAAGTTTTTATAGCTTTTTATATTATTTCCTAGTTATTAAAAAAAAAAACATATATTTGTGCGATTCCATTTAAAATAAAACTGTTTTTTTAACAGCTAATATGCTTTTAAAATATTCTAAATTAAAAATAAAAAAATAATATTTGTAGCAAATATTTTTAAATTATGTATGTATTTGC